GTAAACCCATTTAAACGTATTTTGTTTTTCTTTTCTCTTAACGCCTAAAAGATCTACTTATTCTTGTAAATGTGAATTCTTACAACACTTTCGCCATCTTGGTAAATTACGGTTCGCAATCATGCATTAAAGCGTGTGGGAGGAAATCAGTTAAAATGTTGCCCACAAGTTCAGTATGCGATTTTGAGTAGGAGCCAAATCGGTAATTAATAACCATGGCTGGGCAACATTTTTATTTGCAAAGGTATGTTGAATCGACGAGAAAGCATAGATTTGATTTTTGGATATTTACCGTTTTTGATGCTTCCTGAAATCGTTCAGATTCCCCGAAAGATTTGGTTACGTCTCCTGATTCAATTCCGCAGTACTTCTGATACTAACTAACCTATTCTTAAAGAATAAGTTTCCACTTTATAGCAGATTTTGAACTATACTGTAGAGTTTATCATGTTGCTATAATAAAAAGTTGTTGTTTATTTGGGTTGTTTTGTACATTGTAACCTAATAGTGTTTTATTTATATACAATACTTCCATTACAGATAATACGTTTATTTTTCATAGTGTAGCCATAATAAAAGTGTTATTAGTACCCTTTGTAAACAGGTCGAGAAGAATAAATTTAGGAATGGGAGAAAATATTTAAAAAAAATATTTGTGACCTAGTAGTGGCGTACGTTTTCCCTTATCTCCATAATTGCTCGTGATAAAGATAAATAGGAATTTACTTGTTACTTCACACTTCCAACAGTAATTACAATTCGTATCGCTACAGATATACTCGTAATACAATGCACTTTAAGTAATAAACGTGTATAGGCAAAATGTACAAAATTAATTAAACTTTACCATAAAATTGCACAAAATCGACTATCCAACCGTAATGGCATCTAATGGGTGTAACTATCAAAGTACACAGGTGTACGTCAACTGAAAACGATTACATACAAGCGAAATAATTCAATTTCACAGTTCTTTTAAGACGAGTACACAATTACTAGAAAATTAAAATCGCAAGATCGTTATTCAATCGATTGTGTGTGTGTGATACCACCAATCGCAGTACGAAAGACAAATTGCAATAGATTATAAAACTGGAAAGCTAATTAATTAATGGTAATTTCCATCAGCGTTGCAAAAGGTAAGATGTTAATGAAGCGAATGAGAACTTGCCCATAAATTTATTTCTAATTATGATCTGAGTTGCTATTGCTTTATTAACAATTTGTGGTATCATTTCTGCTTTATTCTTTATATATGGTCGATTTACCTTAGATAATGGGTTAACCATTTCCCATTATTGTTGTGTTTGTTCTTTATGGCGTGCGGTTTTTTGAAACTGTATTGTTCGTTTTTTAGTTATAACCATTATAGACATTCCAATGGTCGGATGATGTTCGAGTTTTGAACATTCAGTACCAGTTTATTACTTAATTGTTGAGTCGTTTGTACTTTGTACAATTTTCTGAGCAGACTTTAAATGCTATAGAGCAGCACCAGATACGCTTTTGAAAGCTACTCTCTCTCTGTTCTGCTGTACATTTTCCCGATGTTTTTATTAATTCTTCTTCTTTAATTACTGGTCCAAATGTCAACACTCAAGTCAAATAACTTTGGTTTGTTTTATTGCTGCAGAAGATATTCCTTTCTAACGGGATTCTTTCTTGAAACGTGGCCGAAGATATCGATGAAACTGAAAGTAGTGCAAAGATACATTTACTGAAAGGGATAAAAGAAGAGGTATTGAAGTAATGAACTGTCATTACTGACAATAAATTTCCTCCTTCCATAATACAATTTTCTTAAAAAAAAAAAGATTATAACGGGTAGGTAAAGTTGACGCTGCTTTCCTCAAACTCGACCCCATAAACGGCCAACTAGCTGAGGGTAAACCGCAAAATAAGCACTTGAGTCCTAGGTAAAATGATCTTCTTATCTTTGTTGAACTTATCAAGAGTTGAGCTCCACTCAATTTCTAACTTAACTCTCCACATGAAATTGACAAGATACGGGGGTATTACAAAGAGTACAAATCAATTTAAGTAGCAAAATAAATGCTGGTTTATTGTCATTAAATGGCAAAATCAAAATTGTCTCCCCAATGGGATAGCGTAACATGCAACTATTCAAATGTCAAAATTTTAGGTTACGTCACACACAAAAATCTTAATAACTTGACTTGAAAATTGAAATATACCAATCAATGATGATCGATTAAATTGATTACTTGATCTTAAAACAAGTTTCCACAAAGAAATTGATATTAAAAAGGTAACGCTTACCTTAAATGTAACTTAGATGTGATCCAGAGAAGTGAGCTCAGTTGTTGGATCCCTAAACCTGTAAACAAATGAAAACTTTCAAGCCCCATATCTCGGAATGCAATGAATTGAAGGGCCTCGCCTTACTTGTAGTAAGCTTCTATCACAAGTACAATATTTAATCGAACCGCTTCCGAAGGAAGTGGAGGGTTGTCAATAGCATACGCTAATTCGATCATCACCTAACAGAGATCTCAAGATAAAAAATAGATTGATATTGACGTTAACAAAATTACTTGAAAGGTTATATAACTATATGGGATATCCCGGAAGGCGCAAAAATAGTTATTGATTACTACGATAAAAGGTTACTGAAGTTGTTTCTTGGTTAACGATCGAATCCGTTATATCAGATCTGATGCATGACCCCGTGACCCAATTTCAGCAAATGGCGGCTCCTTAGCAATGGAAATTCTGTCAAAAGGTATTGGCACGCGCGCATCGATGGTAAATTTACTCGCAAGTTGCTCACACGCATATGTAAAACGTATCCGAAATTATACTTTGAAGATTGAATTGGAACTGGTCCTTAAAGTGGTACCATAAATTAAAACTGGTAATTAAAATCCGAAAAGTCCCTCTTCGTTAATAACCTTAAAATTGAGAATGAACATACCTCTTTAAATAAGAGGGCTAATCAACAATCATCGATGGATATAGCAAATATTAGCCAACCTAAAGAAAAATACACTTCAAGTACATGTAAATGCAAATGGCGTACTTACACAGAAGAAGCCAAAAAAACGCAACGATATCCTTCATACTATTAGGGAGAATCCGTTAAAATTACATATGGGTGGCGGCCATTAAAATCCCATGCGTTTTCAAAATTAAATCTGCACTCGGTCACAGCTTGCAATCGAAAGAGGAAAATTAATGTTGACCATCGATAACGACTAATCGCAGCGCCACAAAAATTACGACTGTTACGAGGATTATTGAACAAGTAAATATTGGCTGAATTAAAATATGCTGTCCCTTCTTAGTGTTCTCGGTTCGACTCCAAAACTCGTTTTTTGCTGGCTTTCCACTATTCAAAAAAACCAAAAAAAGATGTTGTAAGTAACCAAATCGTCTGATCTTATCGCGCTGATTTTCTTACACAGATTACTACCTGAATGGTTCGTCTTTGATATTTCATAAACAATTGTTTAATACCGAAATAATTTTTTTACGAAAAAAAGAACAACCATGTTTTTTTGCGTGTCCTACAGAACAATAGAAATAGCCCAGTAAATCGGGTTTGGTATGCCACAAAGCTGAAAATTTCGGGATCAGCTCTTTATGACAAGTAAAACAAAACCTGAAAAGCCTCATAACTTCGCATATCAGCTTCCATGCAAAATGACGAATCAAAGATGGCTGCTAAGCATTATTTACCTTGTTTGCTTTTTTTTGTGAGATATTTCTGATACTTGTTTCACAGAAAAATGCCCGATTGCTATCAGCAGATATTAAGATAAGCTAAGGGCGTCGGTATCCGCCCGTAACGGTGAGTTTAACTCAAGGTTACAAAACTGGTATGTCCAACAAGACATGTAACGTAAAACGTTATGGAACTTGAATCCTAAAAGAAATTAAAGGTAACCCCCCCTTCTATGATGACATAAAATTTACTTACCTCTTAGATAAGAGGGCTAATCGTAGATGCAGCAATGATTGTTGATGGAAATTATATTTCAACAAATTGCAGCCGAAACCTAAAGAAGGTACACGATAAATACGCGAAATGCAACATGGGGGTACTTACGTCAAACGGATATGTAACACCTCCACTGAGAGCACAGGCGAATCCGGCCCATACCAATCACTTCGTAATTCCCAAATGATGTATTCAATCGCCAGAGATCAATATATATTCTGAAGATGGCAATTAGAACTCCATGCGTTCTACTTTACGCTTTCCGTTCATTCACGAACCATACCCAATCTGTTCGATGAAGGTGGTTCGCCAGCCCCCGTTGTACTCGAAGGGAATTGTGAGAAGCCATGCACTATTTTTGTGGAAGAATGGCCAGGTTAAATGTTGAAGAGAGGGTTTTAGTTAGGGCCGTCGTGTGGGTGGGGCGACCGAGGAGGTCGCCTCCATGGGCGTCGCGATCTGGAGGCTGCCGCCATGGTAAAAAAAGACATACTTTATTTTATAGCATATGCGCACAAATTCTCTCTATGATTCAGCTGGGTCCATAGGTGGTGGAGGTGGATAATGGAGTGGTTCTAAACAGGTGCAGCATCATCCCCTGGAACTGGGACTGGAAATTACGAGTTTTCGAGTTTTACCGGAGTAGGGGGGGGGTTAAGCCTGGCCTTGTGCGCCTTCATACCTCGCGACGGCCCTACTGACTGGTCATCTTTGATTCTTCGTTTTGGATGGAAGCTTACATGAGAAGTTATGAGACTTTTCAGGGTTTGTTTAACTTGTCATAAAGAGTTGATTCTCAAATTTTTTGTTCATTATGAATTAGTGGGTTATCGACCCACTTTTCTTCCTAAAAGTCTTGGGCTAAAACATTTTTCGAGATTTTTTTAAGCAAACTTCGGTCAATAACACAAATAATCGATGATCTAATAATAAGTACTTAGTGCACATTTGATTTTGTTAAACTAAGTTTTTAGATATTTGTTCACCAAAAAAATTGCGTTGGAACAAATGGCAAATTAACACTTATTTATTCTCACAGGTAGAGCGTCAGAAGTACTATTGGAATTCTGCATTAAGTTAAAGGATAAATTTCATTTCTCCTGGAAAATGATCTCATTGGTGGATGTAATTCTCAAATACGCAAGAGATGACCAGGATGAAGCATGGAAGCAGATTGATGAAGGTAAGATGAAGATGTAATTGTAAAGCTTTGTTGATGCATCAGTGAGTAAACATTTTTTCCCGAAATCGTCATGAGACCTTCATTTATATGCCAGGAAATTTTAGTTTGTATGGCATCTACTGCCTGTCACTTTACCAGATTCCGCTTTGAATGTCTCATTGGTAATGTCTAATGACTCTTGTCTTCACTGACATATTGATATTAAAAGTTCTATATGAAAATTGAAATTTTATATTAAAAAAGACGATTTCTGGAAAAATTTAATACGAAAGTCGTCGGTAAAATGGCCCTACTTGACGCGGAATTTAAAGTACTCGGTCCCTGGGGCCTCGTACCTCAATATTTTCTCACCAGTAATGTCATTTTTCTTACCTTTATGTAAACAACTATTAAATAGTGAAAATTTGTTTGTTGTTAAATTTCTTTTAAATATCTCAATAATAATATCAATTCATTTCGTCCACTCACCCGCAGCTTTCTACTAAATCTGAGTGCTGAAAAACCTTCAACTCGACGGACTTAGTAATGCCAACTTTGGTCTCTTATTCAACAACGCTGCTTCCATGCAGTGGAAAACCACATGATAGCTGATCTACTTTTAAAGCCTCACTTTCGGGCGACTATTTTTAATTCTCCCTCTTTTATCTCGGGTTCGTGGCGTGGTTCTATGTTTAAAATTCTACTATCAAACTTCGTCTTTTTCTTCATTTTCCCTTGGATCTACCCTTTACGTTTACTTCCCAAGCTGGCTGAAATAAAAACAGAGGTTACGATTTACGAAAAGGAAAGAATTTAATTGATTTAAAAAAAAAATCATATCCCTGCTCGCCAGATAATTGAACCTATCTTAGTAAATAATGCAACGAGTAATTCTAAATTATTAAACAAAACGTTCATACTAAGTACGCACGAAGAAGTTTTGCGCGATTTAGTCGAAAGCACCGATAATTCCTTGGGATGACGCCCATGTTGATACTAAGTTGCGTCATTCGTTAGGGTAGTAGCTAGTAGCTGATGACGGAGGCAGACAGGTTTCGATGGCAACGCTGACTTCTTCTAATCAACTTTCTTATTTCTTATGGATGCCATATTGGATTTTTACGTCATTCGCTGAGACAAAACCAGTGATGCACCTGAAATTCTCGCAACTTTATTATCACTTTGTTTATCGCCGATTTAATATGGCACTCTACTAATTTTACGTACACGCGCACCTTTTAAACATCTACACTTATCGATTGCTCCTAAAATAAAGAACGCGATGAACTTCATTTCTCTTTGCGCACCGCACTTGCCCCGATTTAAGCTACATCTTATCTCACATTCCAAGATAAAAATTAATTTGCGAATTTCGACCAACATAATACCTCACGATAAATTAGCACGTTAACGATACAATATGATCCTTTTGCATATTGCGTAAATTTACCTAGTTTAATTAATTTTTAATACATAGTTTGAGTGAATGAAAGTTGGTATGAATGTGAATGGGGGATATCATTTTTGCTTTTGTCGTTAAAATCAGAGGTACCGACTTTTCGAAAGAGTTTGTTGTTATTTTAATTATTGGTCTTGCATGTCCACTCCTGTACGCTTAAGAAATAATCATAAGGATTGAACTATTTTAAATCGGTTTTGTCCAGACAATAATAACGTACGAAGTTTATGTCGAAACGCAGGTAATGAAGGCACTTTGAGGTTCTGTGGCAAATCATTCCACCATTTCGCTACATTGTAAGTAAAACGACATCGACCGAGTTCAGTGGTTAACCGTGGTATGGTAATGTGGCCCCTAAACCTCAAATTTAAGTTATGTACATCTGTTCTGAATGTAATTTTGTGATATAAGAACTGAATAGTGCATATAACGTCTGTTTAACATATTTACCCAATTAATATCCTTCAGTTTATGTGAAATTCTATCAAATTTCCGATGTTGAACTGTGAGGTGTAAAATCTACAGCCATCCAGTAAAAATGATCTAAACGTATTTACGTGAATTTGGGATTGCTGATATCTTTTCAAGGTAAAGTTATTTTCATAAGATTCCTTATTTGCTTAACACGTTTATTTCTAGGTTATGCAATATGTTTTAATTTAATTACATATCTTTCTTTGATCTATGTCACAATCCGAAACCCATTTATTAATGAGGTACATATGTTTATATTAATTAGATCAGTGTTTTTCAACCTTTTTTTACTGGTGGCCTGCTTGTGAATGTTATTTATCTCTGTGGCCCCCCTCCGCGTTAGACCGGGGGGGGGGGGGGTATGGGTTTTGGGGCATACCCTGATGGGAAATTTTTGAAATTTTCGTAGCTGTGTGTTTTAGACTCATTTACGTCTTTCTTAGACTACACAAAAATGTATACTCGTTTAATAGACCATTAAATGTGGCATTTCAATATTTTAAACACTTTAAAATTAGATCAGAATTAATTTGAGATATTTTTTAGCTATCAAGAAACCATTTTCAATTAAGTAATTAAGTTAGTTAATTTGTTTATCTTTCCGGCTGTAAATGAGATTAGATTAAGTTATACTTTATAAGTAATCAGATCTGCTGAGAATTTTGCATTTAGTTAAGTTTATCCTTGCGCAGACAGTTTTATGCAATTAAATTTTATTTGTGTATATGTATCGTTCTTTGCTAAGACAGGAGAAGTTTTTTTTATACCCGCCAGTGCTTAAGGATTCACAAAGCTAGTATTCTTATTTTATTTTTAGTTTATATTTTTTATTTACTTTTTGGCGTGACTTGTTCACGCCTGGTGCCCGAAATTATATGAGCTTTGGCAAACTTCGGTGGTTGTTTCATTGCAAGACCCGATTCCCTTGACTGGTCGTGGCCAATTCCCTTTTCCTTCTCGAGGTTCATTGCAAAGTGGAAAATGAGCATGAAAAAGAGAGGGAAGAAGACCATATCAGCAATCTCACGATCTTTCACTTTTCGGTCATCTATCACGATTAAAAAAACTTTCATATTTTCCGAAGTGACTGCTCCATTACGCCTACCAGAGCGTTCCGCATCATTTGTATCCGTGCGACCGCCTTTAAAATGTGGATACCACCTGTAATGTGTCTAGATAACATTTTTCAATCCATTTCTGAGCTGGTCCTGTATTTTGGTCCATTAAATAGCAATGTTTGATTAAACATTTATTAAATGCACAAGTTGCGTTGCTTTCACCAGAGTAGTTGTTTAGCCGTTTATGGTCCGATTGACGCGAAAATCAGCAACATGTAATTTGCAGGTTAGTTGTTTTCAAAAACCAGTCGATTTGATATTACTAACGCCATTTGTGGATACTAACTCGGGACTATCCGGGACTTATTAATTGAACGATGTATTATAAGGTAGTGTTTTTTTTTACAAGAGGGAATTTATTTATATATTATAATCATGATGACCCTTAACTTAAGAACAACTTGCACCAATAACGTAAATACAATTTACAATTTACATTAATAATTACACTCTTAGGTTATAGGAAAATGGTCTGTGATTTTTAATGGACAGTTGAAACACATTCGTTTCCATATAGAATAGCAATAGCTTCCGATCCAAGTTAGACTTAATAGTAATTTATTTATTTATTTTTTTATTGTCCCTCTTATGTTCTGGATCCTCAACAGTCAACAGGCTTGTGCCAAATTACAATGCTTTTTAGAGGTGCCCCTGCAGAAGGTCTTAAGTTGTTCTATACTACTTCGGTATTCACCTTACAAATTAGGAAAACCTAATTCGGAGTAGCCGGCAGAATGCTCCAAACTGAACTAAGGAAAATCCCATCTCTGCCACAGATGAAAAATTATTACCTCGGCCCAGGTTCGAACACGCGACCTTCCGGCTATGTAGCCCAACTGAGAAACATAGCCAGAATAATATGATCCTATTTGGTATTGGTGTTGGTTTAAACGTTAAATTTTCTTCCACAACTGGAACATCATGGACCAAATTGGATAGTTTTATCGCACTAAAACTCGCACGCGCACTATGCTTTTGATAATAATGATAATAATAATAAAATATAAACACACAGTTTCACATTCTTGATTGTCATTTTTGATGTGTGCAATATTCATTTGCACTTAACTGTAAGTTTTCTAGTAATAAATCAACCGAACTCTGCCTTACCCGGATTGACTTTCCCGTCCGACGCAAAATAAATCAATGCGGTAAGTACCGATATTACAAAACTAAAATCGATATAAAGTAACAGTGTGAATGAATTTTTATCAAATGTCGCACTCCCATCCAATGCCGTGTAATGTTTTAAAACAACTGCACAGAATCGTTAAAGTATAATTTATGATCCCCATAAATGCAAAGGTTATAATATTTTTAGTATGTACATATGCGTGCCTTTATTGCCAAAGCTTGCTGGGGTAAATTAGCCCTTAGTGCAAATATTTTTAACGTATAATTTGGTTAATAGGGAACAACCAACGTCAACAATGGAGATTGTGTAATTTTGCAGATTTTGTGTGCACTTAGAGTAATGCAATAATACTTGGTGTTATTAAGTTCACAGTTTCTGTTTTGATTACTCTCGCGAAACTATATTAGTTAATAAATTGACGACGTGAGAAAGATGGCGCTCGCTTTGTGTTATTTATCAAAGTAATGCCATGTTTAATGTTTGCACTTTTGTAATGGCCACCTGGACTTGTTAAGTTTCTTGTTCTAACGACTCAACTTCCGTTCGTAAGTCTGTAAAAATTCGCATTATATTTAGCGCATTGTGAAATAGAAATGAAATCGTAAATCTTTTTAGTTTTCGTAATGTACGTGTGTTTCCCTTGATTTAAAACGTACACATCGTATAACTTTTGGTATTGGTTAAATTAACGTGCCAACTTTATCCTTTAATATTTTAGAAATCAATTCGCAAAGTCCGATTCCTCGAAATCTGCGTGAAGGTTTTTTCGCTGATTAAGTTCAATTTAAATGCCAATGAGATAGCTTCCTGTTTTTAATTAATAT